GGGGGAGGGAGACGCTGAAACTACTAGCTGTGTACATGTGTGCATGTGTGCATGTGCATATGCGTGTGTGTGGGGGGTCTCTATGTAGCCACCAGAGGCCTAGGCAAGGTAGGGGGAAGCCATGGGGGAGGGGGAATCCCTGGGGGAGGGAGAAAGTTACAACAAGGTGCTCTGGCAATGTCATTTAATTGATACGGAAGACCTGAACTTAGAAATCTTAGACATTATTTTACTTTGCAAAGGACTAAAACAATTTTCTTTCTCAAAAAAAAAAAAAAAAATCTATCTCCTATCTTCCTTTTCCAGAACCACAAAAGAGCTTTGGGAAGCTAGTCATCTTGCATCAACAACAACACAAGTTTGCCAAATGGCATTCCACCAGCTTTATACAACACTCTTTGATGAGGAGCAGGGCAGAGGCAGGAAGAAGGGACTCTCAGGTTTAAGCTCGGGTTCAGAACGTGGCAGGCTGTCACGCCTCTAATGGTGGCAGTGAGGAGAGGTTTGAGATATGAGATTTCCTGATCTAGAAACAGGAAACATCCAGGAATTCGGAGATTTTCATGTGACACTATTTGCTGAGAAAATAGAAAGCTTTCAGTGCCGTTGCTGGACCATTTGTATGTCTATTTCTAGCTGGCTTTTGAGGCTGCAGTCATCCACACAGAACCAGCCACATAAAGACAGATGAACGCCTACAGAGGCTCTCCCGCTCACCCCAGTCAATAAGTATTTAGTATCAGCCCTAGCTGACCACTCCTAAAACACTGCCTAGCATCACTCCGCTCCACAGAAGCATTCAATGTCTTCCCAATGCCCTACTAATCCCCACTGGGTGAAGCGTAAGCCATTGAGGCCACTGTTCAAGGCCTTCTACGGTCCCACTCCGCCTGCATTTCCAGCCTCTGCTGCTGCAGCTCCTGCAAAGCCTCCTCTAGGCCAGCTCACCTGGCCTGCTGACTCTCACACTTTCCCCGTCTCTGCCTATCCAGTCTCGCCGGTCCTCAAACCGCCAAACCTTTATCACCAACCCAGCTGGAGGACATGCATTTCCCTTAAACACCCAGGTGTCTTTTGCTGACAGTAGAAATGCCATCTGTACCTTTTTAGTTCTTGCAGCTCATCTTCCAAGCCCAACTGTGAGCTCTTTGAGTGCAGGAATTTTTATGATGTGATATTGAATCCGCTCCCCATTAATACATGCCTTCTGTATATCAACAAGAATTAGGTGCCCAATGCATGCATGTGAAATTGATGGACTTCAGTGTGCCTGGCACTGTGCTCAGTTGCATAGAAATAAGAAAGAATGTAAGTTTCTTCCCTCCAGCAGTTCCCAGTTTTCCTGGACAGGTGGGGTGGAGTACCAGCAGAGAACAGCACGAGGTGCATTCTGCAGTGCAAACTGCAAATCTGGAAATAACCATTGTCCAGACATAGCATCCAGAAAAATGCTGTAAGCTTACAAAACGAAAAGGCCAACTTTTAGTTAGGCATAAGGGTTGGTTGTACTTCAGATGGCCTTGAGGAATAATCATTATATTTTGTATTTGTCTATTTTATAATTTTCAAAGCTCCTTCATTTACATTAACTGAATGAATTCTCACACCACCATTGTTAGCTATTATTATGCCTATTATTTTTCTGTTTTCATAGAGATAGGGTCTCACTATGTTGTCCAGGCTGATTTCAAACTTCTGGCCTCAAGTGATCCTCCTGCCTTGGCCTCCCAGAGTGCTGGGATTACAGGTATGAGCCACTGCACCTGGCCACTACACCCATTTTAAAGAATAAGAATTCAAGGCTGGGTGCTGCGGCCCATGCCTGTAATCGCAACATTTTGGGAGGCCGAGGCAGGAGAATTGCTGAGGTCAGGAGGCTGAGACCAGCCTGGGCAACATAGTGAGACCCCATCTCTACAAAAAGACCCTGGTAGCAGGCGTGGTTTGGCTAAAGTCACATGACAAGGTGGGGGCTAAGCCAGGACTCAACCACTGGTCTTTAGAGTTCAGGTTCACTACTTTCTACTTCTATCATTCTTTGCCTTTAAACTAGAATTCTGGAGCAAGGTATTAAAGCAAAGGGAAAATACCGTTTAAAAAATATTAGGTAGGCTGCTGTGTATGGGATAGATTGAAGAAAGAGAAAGAGAGCGCGGAGAGGCATGCGCACGCTAGCAACTCTGACCAACTGTGATAGAGAGGAACTGGTTACATTTGGGAATACCTGAATACAAAGGATGAGGGAAAGAGCAAGAAGAAAGATGGCTCAGGTTACAAAAGAGAGAGGCTGGGGGAATGTCATCACGGCACCGAATGTGCAGATGGGGGTTTTTGCTAACAGGGATATCACAACGTCCTCGTCAGCATCCAGGTGAGATCTGAGCCAGAACATCTCGAAGGCACTGGAATTATGGTACCCAAGACCAAAGGGAGATGTGGGCTGGAGCCCCAAGGGGCCCCCGCAAAGAGTGGGGTTGTGAGAGCAAATGAGCCAACCTGCGAAACCTGTGACTAATAGAGGGACAAGATGAAGCGGGGTTGGCTCTCCAACGTGGAACATGCATCTGTTTCTGAAAGACGGAAGAGAAGGGTGTCGGACCCCTCCATGGCATTCAGATCAACTGCACCACCCTACAAAGCTTTTCAGGGACTGTGATCAGGCTTCTGAAGTGCCTGGGTGCTGGGACGCCTGGAGACCTGGACGCCTGGATGCCTTCTTATTCTGAGCATGGCAATTTTTAAGTTTCTTTGATCTTAACATTCAAGGTTCAGGATACAGCTTCTAGTGTTGATGCGACTCTTAAGATGTAGTCATGGGACCTGCATGGGGCTTCCCAGGACATTGTCACATGGCAACGCTGGGGCACATTGTCACCTTAGTGTTGGGGATCCCAACTCCTGGGTTTGGGGCTGAGGGTGGAAGGGACGCCCCGTGCACATTATTCACCCACATGCCACAGTGAACTTCAGTTTCCTTCCTGGAATTCTATCCACTTTATGTGATGAGCACAGTTTCATTATCCCCGTTATGGGGTGAACCGTACACCCCTCCCCCAAATTCCTCCGCTGAAGTCTTAACCCCACCTCAGAGTGTGACCATATTTGGAGGTAGGGGCTTTAAAGAGGTGATTTAGGGTAAATGAAGTCACTAGGGTGGCCCTAATCCCATAGGCCCAGTGCTCTTAAAAGAAGAGGAGATGAAGGCACAGATGCACACAGAGACAGCCACGTGAGGACACAGGGAGAAGACGGCCACCTCCAAGGCCAGGAGTGAGGCTGCAGGAGAAATCAACTTTGCTGACACTTGATCTCAGAATTCCAGCCTCGAGAACTATGAGAAAATGCATTCCCATTGCTGAAGCCACCCAGTCAGTGGCACTTGGTTGCGACAGCCCCAGCAGACTAACACACCCCCTAATCCTGCTAGTCACCTGCGCTAAAGCCCAGCGACCACCCTCCTGCCCACTCAGAACCTGCCATTTGTCCTCGACATCTTAACACATCATTCAAAACGTAAGATAAACATCCCTTGAACATCGTTCTCCTCTCTTGAATTTCACTCTCCTCACTTGAACTTCTCTTTCACTTCCAGTCTGATCCACAATTAGCACCATATCATGCACTCCCTCATTCTCAAATGGTCTGAGTCACTATAGCAAATGATGTGTTGGTCACCATGCATTGATCTAACTTGTCCCCTGGGCCAGCTTCTTGAGGGTAAGGATCTTTCTTTTTTTTTTTTTTTTTTTTTTTTTGGTTTAGACGGAGTCTCGCTCTTGTTGCCCAGGCTGAAGTGCAATGGCACGATCTTGGTTCACCGCAACCTCTGCCACCCAGGTTCAAGTGATTCTCCTGCCTCATCCTCCTGAGTAACTGGGATTACAGGCATCCGCCACTACACCCAGCTAATTTTTTTATACTTTTAGAGACGGGGTTTCACTATGTTGATCAGGCTGGTCTGGAACTTCTGACCTCAGGAGATCCACACAACTCGGCCTCCCAAAGTGCTGGGATTACACGTATGAGCCACCACACCTGGCCAGGATATCTTTCATTCTGACATCCCCTAGCCCAGCACTAGGCTGGATACTCTGGTAGTAAAACCTATACTTGCAAAGGCAATCACTGGCCATTCGACTGAAACTGTATTCACCCAACTCTGCCTTTAAACCTATCTCTTACTGATTACTAAAATGCCTTGCCCTCGATAGTTCAAAAGTCCATCTATTTTGATGCGAAGTTGTGAAGAAACATGTGTGTCTCTCTATCTTTAAAATCCACTGTGCTCTGACTTTAAAGTGTTTTAAACTATGAAGAGAGTTTGCCCTCATTGAGTAAGAAGCAGCTTTTCAAGTGGGACCCTGCTAACGTGGTTGCTAAGGAGACCAATTGGAGGTAGGCGCCGTAATTAATCAGTAAATCCCAAGCAGCTAAATACATGGTGGGGAGAGGCTCTTTACTCTGAGAGAGGAAAATTGGCAGGTGGGTAGAGGTGCGTGGAGCTCGATGTGGGGCCCAGCTGCAGCTGCCTCCTTCCCCGGTACTCCCTCTACTGAGATTTTCTGATGACAATTTTAAGAGCTTTCTCAATCTGCCTCAAAACTTACCTGTCAGTACAGATTGGATTCTAACATTTGCAGCCTCCCCGGTTGGGCTTCTATTGCAAAGAAGATGCCAAGCTGGTGTGTGCAGGAGTGAACTTCCATCACCTCCGAAGCAGAAGAAATAAGAATTGCATGTTATTTTATTTTATTTTATTGAGACAGGGCCTTACTCTGTCGCTTAGGCTGGAGTGCAGTGGCTCAATCACGCCTCACTGCAGCCTCAACCTCCCAGGCTCAAGCAATCCTCCCTCCTCAGCCTCCCAAGTAGCTGAGACTACAGGTGCTTAATTATACTTATTTAATGTATATAATGTATACTTAAATTACATTATAATATACCTGTAGTGCTTAATTATATTTATATAATGTAAAATTATATGTACAAAACTAATGTAAAAAACATTAATGTAAAAAACATTAAAATTAATGTAAAAAACATATTTATATAATGTAAAATTACTTATATTATGTAAGTATAAATTATAAGTATAAATACATTCACACTTATATAAATTTATACTTATATAAATATAATTTTATTTATATAAATTTATATACTTATATAAATAAGTATAAATAAAATTGTTTTACTTATATTACTTGTATAATTATAAATTATTTTATATATATTTACTTATATATTTACTTACATAATTATATAATTATAAATACATAAGTATAAATATAGTAATAAGTATAAATATAATAAGTACACATATATAATTATAAATATAAGTAATATACATATAAATAATTTAATTGTATCAAATATAATTTTTTATATTTTGTAGAGACAGGTTTTGCCATGTTGCTCACACTGGTCTTGAACTCCTGGGCTCAAGCAATCCTCCCACCTTGGCCTCCTAAAGTACCAGGATTACAGACATGACCCACCAAACCCAGCCAAGAATTTTATTAATTCCAAGTCCTTGCACACACACACACACACACACACACACACATACACACACACAAAGCAGTAGAAATAAGGGTGTGTGACCTTTCGTCTCCGACTGTTTTAATAACTATATCCTGCCAATCAGAAAAGCAGGGGGCAGCTTACTGCTCTGTGCCCACTTACCACAGCCAAGGGAAGCCCGTGGTTCTCAAGGTGGTGTCTCCGTGGCTGTGTGGCAAGGGGGAAGCCCTGAAGCCGTCACAAACACCACACAGTCTGCGCCCCTCCAAGTCTACCTGTGCTTTTCTGAGGGGCAAGTTTCCTCTACTCACCCACTCAACAGTGTTTTTGTTTTTTGGTTTTTTATAGATGGAGTTTTGCTCTTGTTGCCCAGGCTAGAGCGCAATGGCTCGATCTTGGCTCACCACAACCTCCACCTCCCAGATTCAAGCAATTCTCCTGCCTCAGTCTTCCGAGGAGCTGGGCTTACAGGCATGTGCCACCATGCCCAGCTAATTTTGTATTTTCAGTAGAGACAGAGTTTCTCCATGTTGGTCAGGCTGGTCTCGAACTCCCAACCTCAGGTGATCCGCCCACCTCAGCCTCCCAAAGTGCTGGGATTACAGGCGTGAGCCACCGCTCCCCATGCATCACAGAAGACCGCCTGCCACCACATGCAGCTTCATTCAACCCACCAAGAACATCCAGGTCATTGGGTTCAACTCCTCCATCTGGTGGATGAGGAAAGACAAGTCCAGAGAAGCTAACTGACTTCTCACTCTTGCTCTTCCTCTTCCTCAACTGCAAGGGAAGAAAAGCATTTAGCTGCCTGAACCTCCTGGGAATGACGAGGTGCTCAAATGCAGGTGTGTTGTTTCAGATAATTTTCACTGCATGTAACAGTAAATCCAAATAAATGGCTTAAATCACAGGGAGTTAAAGTTTCCAGTGCCTCCAATGAATGGCTTCTGCATAGCCACCCTCTATTATCCTGGGACTTTGTGGTTTCCACACGGCCTAGCTCTGGACAGCCTTGCAACTGGCCTTAGCCAACAAACGTAGCAAAAGCAATAGGCTGCCAGCTCTATACTTAGGTCTCAAGAGGTTCCATATGCTTGCAGTTGTTGTCTTGATTGTATTTGCTTATGCCGTCACCTCAGGCTTGCCATGAGATCATGCCAGGCTAATATGCCAGAGGGACATGAGAGACCCATGAAGGATAAGACATGTCCAAGAGAACCAAGGTCCCCAGCTGACACTCAGCCAACCCTCTGAGTCCAACTGCAGGTGCAGAAGAGACTCAGGCTGAGGCCAGAAGAACTGCCCCGCTGAGCCTAGCCAAAATTCCCAATCTAGTCCAAATACCCAATCTGTAGATTCATGAGTCAAATATGTGGTCTCTTATTTTAAACCTCTGGCTTTGGTGTGGCTTGTTATGCAGCAACAGGTGACTGAACCCTGATTAACATTTGAAATAAAGGTTTGGGTTTTTTAGGGGAAAAAAAGGGTTAAAGTTTGGAAGTCCAAGATTGATATGGCCACTCCATTCGTCCAAATTCTTCCATCTTTATGTTCCATCATATTTACCCATGGTTTCCATCCTCAAAGTTGTCTCATCTCATGATCCAAGATAGCTGCTAGAGCTCCAGCCATCACATTTGTGTCCCAGACAGGAAGGAGGGAAGGCAAAGAAGAGAGAGGGGCCTTTAGTGAGTTGACCCCCTTTAAAAGAGCTTTCCTGGAAGCCCCACCCAAGGGCCTGCAGCTTCATGCTCATTGGCAACCCTTGGCCAATGGGAAATGTAGTCTTTTAGCTAAGGGCATTGATGCCTAGAATAAAAGCAAGGGTACTGTTTAGTAAGGAAGAACAGGGGACTGGGGATTGGGTAGGCAGCCACCAGTATCTGCCACATCATGTATGAAATCAGGTTCCACGCCTGGGACCCCAAAGTACATCAGGATGCAAAAGTAACTCTGTGTCATACAGTGAACACGCTGGTTTCCCAAAGGGTCCATAGTGGTAGCTTTGCCCTGCAGTGTAAGGTTTGGGCAACAGAGGTCTAAGTGAGGCATCGTGAGTATGCTGGTCTCCTGAGCCCACCTGCGCTGAACACAGATGGAAGGGGAACTTCATTCTCAGAACCTGTTGCTCTTAACCTGGGCAAATGTTTGCTTTCTTTCTTTTTACCTATTTTCTTTTTATTGAAATGTAATTCCCATAACATTAAATGCACCGTTTTAAAGCATATAATTTGGTGGGTTTTAGTATTCTTGCTATGTTATGCAACCATCACCGCAATCTAATTCTAGAACATTTCCATTACCCCCAAAAGAAACCCTATACTATTTGCAGTCAGGCCAGATGCTTCTCCCTCAATCCTTCTCCACCCAGTCCCGGGTGAACAAGAGCGCTGGACTTACCATATGAGTGAGTGCTTGAGCTCCTTGGATGACACAAGTTCAAACCCTGGGATTCTGGAATCTTTTAGATCCTCTTGGGAAATCTAAGGACAGGGTCATGGTGCAATTCACCTAAGGTAAGGAAAGGTGGGGTCCCCAAGGATGCTAAAGTCTCGAGCCTGTGCCTTCAGCCTGGGAGCTCCCTTCCTGTAGTCCACCAGCCCCGGCAGCTGCAGGAGACAGGGAGGCTTGGCAGTAAGGGACAGGGAAGCTTCCAGAACTTCAGAGCCTCCAGGGCACTCGGTAGTGACACCCTAAGGTGCAGAAGCAGCTTTAAAAAGCTCTCTGTTGTGACACCAGATGCTGATATGAGATTTCTAGATCCAGGTGGTATTAATTAAAAAGGGGGCTGTGGGGGAGGTTGCAGCACGTTCATTAAGGGCCCTCGTGTGTTGCAGATTCAAACAGAATCTTCTTTTTCTACTCACAACCATCCTGGGTGGTATTGGACTCGTTTTCCAGAAGGAGGACCTGAGGTTCACAAAGAGATGTGTCTTGCTCTGACCGTAAAGCCGAATTTCAGACACTGCCATCTGAGCCTCGAGCCTCAGGGTTCTCCATTGCACCATGCTGTGGGCACCTGTGGAAATGCCTCCTGACCTGGCCCAGGACAGGTAGAGCCACCCCTTCAGTGGCCTAGTAAGGGGCAGTGACATGAGGTGGGGGCTTGGCTCAGCTCAGCCCTGAGCTCCTCCATGCTGGTGGGAGCTTGGCGTTCGTTCGCTCCCCTCCCTTCTGCCTGCCTCCTATTCTTCACTCCTCAGGCAAAAAGGTTGCTCAAGGAGACTCCAGGATTTGGGGTCTGCCTCGTCACTGTCACCAGGAGGCTTTTTTTCCTGACTTGCCAGAGCTCCTCGTCAGTCCTCGCACAGCCTCTGGAAGCACAGGGAAGGCAGCTGTGGGATCCTGGCTGAACAGAGCCCAGGTGAAGCAGGCTTGAGAACGGATTGATGGGGAGGTGGGGATGTCACAGGTCTGATGGCAGAGCCGGGGGAGGGGAGCCGCCAGGAAGGCTTGCAGGTCCTGCTGTTTGGCTGATGAAGGGGGTCAGTGTGTGTATGTGTCATGGAGGTGGGCAGGGAAGGGGAGGGCTGTGCGTGGGGAGAGGATATATATGCTGGTGTGGCTGAGACAGCGGAACCGAGCCTCGCATCCATCGGAGGGAGCCGAGGACTGACAGCTCTCAGGTAAGCAACTGCACGGGGCCCCCAGCCCGACCGCGACTAACTGGACTAAGTGCGTGGAGCCCTGGGAGGGCAGGGCCACCAGGGGCTGGCTCCTCAGCCTGTCTCCTTTGTCCAGTGTGGATGCTGCTGGCCTCTTGCGAGATGGTTTCTTCATTCATCTCCTTTGCAGCGCTTGGATGGTGGGGAACGGGGGAGGGCTGAGGCTCTTTTTTAACCTCAAACAGATGCAGAAGCAGAAAGAGGGGAACTTGGAAATGAGGAAAAGTTTTGCTTCCCCAGCTGTGACCCCTACGTGGTTGTTTCTCTGTGTCAAGAGGAGGCGGCTGAAGGAGTGAGGTCAGGGGAGGGGCAGGCACTTGGGAGGGGGCTTGCCTTCCTCGGGGCGGCCCCCTGGAAGCCCCTAGCCCCCTCATGAGGTTTTCTCTCTGTGGCTTCCTTTCCTCCCAGAGGTGATGTGCAGGCTGCTCCTCCACCTTATCACTCAACTTGATGCCATCCAGACAAGAGTTTTCAATCCAAAGAGAGCCCTTCTCCCTTCTGTCCCCAACAGAAATTGCTACAAATAATGGGGAAGGGTTGGACCTGGGGAGTGTCCTTCACCTGTGTACACTGCTGAGCCCCGCGGCGTGTGAGTTCCAGGCAGCATGTCCACGGGCGTGACCTTGGTAGCCCAGACCCCGATGCCTTTCGAGGGCTCCTCTCTTCCTCGGCATCTCTCTCCCCTGCCCGTCTCCCCCACCTAAAGGTCTTTGACCGGGTCATGCAGAAAAGTCCGTTCCTAAGTCACCGCCTCTGAACTCTCGAGGCTCTCCCGGCGCCTCCTTTCTTCCTCCTGTCTTTGTGCATTTCTCTCCCTCAAGTCTCGCCTCCCCGGGCTTCGCTACCCAGCCCCTCCTCCCCGCATCTCGCTCTGAACATGGGCAAGTTCTGGGGGAATTTCAAGTAAGGCAGGATGATTCGGGAAATGGACTATTTAAAGCAAGCTGCTTTGGACTTGAATACCCTGATCCTGCGCTTAAACATCTGTGTTTAGCTTCCTCAAGCAGCCCATAATTGCCCCAATTATAACCAATAACATTGTTCAGGAGACTAACAACAGATGAGCTTTGCACGGCATTCACCAGCAAGCCCAGACCAGAGTTTTCAACATTGAGGGGAAAAGTAACTGCCTGGCTTCTTCTCAAAACCTCCCAAAGCAAATACTGCTCTCTTGCTGCTGGTGGGTGGCGACCGCATGAACCCTCTTTTTTTGTCATTTGTAAAGTGTGGCAGGGAAATATTCTACAAGCTTCCACTGAGGCTGTGATGCCTTTAATGAAAAGGATTCATGCTCCTTTAGGCTCACTGACTCTTCTGCAGGGGAGGGTCCCTGGAAAGCCCATCCCCAACCACCACTACGTCAGCAAAAGCAGCAGATTTACCTCTCCATGTGCTGCCCGGTGCTGCCTGTCGAGGGCGCTGTGGTGCAGCCTAGGGTCGTTTTGAGGGTGCAGTTTTGTTACGCACAGGGCAGCAGCCCCTGATTTATCAGCTGGAGACTGAGAGTACTTAGGGATTTGCAAAATGCAGGCGATTTGGCATTGTCAATGAAGGGAGTGATTGCAGGACTAGGTTCCAACCTCTGCTCCCTGGAGCCTACGACAGGAGCTGTCACTAAGCTGTTCTGTATTCAATCAATCAGGTATTTATCATCTACACTCCACCAGGCAGGGAGGCTTGCAGGGGCTCTAGTAGATTCAGCAGAGGTGATAATAGCAGCACTCCACATTTGTACAACGATTTAGGCGCTTTCACACCTATTATCCCCAGCAACAGCCTTGTGAGGCGGTGCCATTATCTCAGTGTTGCAGTTGGGGAAACCGAAGATAAGAGAGTAAATGATTTATTCAGTACATGGCAGGGGCAGGACTGAGCCGAGCCATTCTGGCTCCAGTTCATCTCCCCGTTACGGTCAGGGGTGCTTACAAATTCACAGTGGGGTCGCGGGTAGAAGAGAGACATAACACAAACATGAGAAACAATCAGAGGACCGTGCAAGGCTGGGTGTAGTTCAGTCCTAAATTGCATGGTCCAGGCAGCAAGTGCTAGAAGAATTCGGGAGAAGGAGCACTTCCTCCAGGGATTCCTGGGATTCCACCTAGTAGGAAAGCAGGTGGAATTTGGATGGGTCAAGGGCTTTGAAGAGGGAGGCAGCAGCCAAGTTAAACATATAAAGGGAGGGCAAAGGAATTAACACTCCTTGAAATCCACTCTGCACCAGGCAGTGAGCTAAGCTTGTCTACATGCTTATTTCGTGCTATTACACACGCGCACACATGCACACAGGTAGAAATGGGAAGTTTCACGCGAGCGGTCTCTACTTGCACTCACACGGTTCAGTGATTCCTCATTTCCCCCCTTCAGCTCCACAGCTCCCAAAGCCCACGAAGGAAGCGTTGAAATCTCAAGTGTTCCGAGCCTAGGTGGAGCTACTCCTCAGGTATCTTAGGAAAGGGATGGGCCCTTCTCAGAAAACAGGAGCCATCCTGACAATGGCTGGTAGTGGCTTCAACTGCTGGGAAGTCATGAAGCAAACTGGATTTCCTAAACGCCTTCATTTAAATGCCACAATCCAACATAAAGCTTTCCTTCTAATCACAAACTAGTTGTGAGATTTGGAGCACATCAATTTCAGGGGCAAGTGAGTTTTCTGGGCATCTCCCTAGACAGGCTACAATTAGTTTCAGTCTCAATTTTCCGTGATCCTGTGGGGTTTTCGTTTTCTAAATACTGACAGCTGCTTCAACATTGCAGAAGCACAAAATCGTCAGCCCTGGGGGTCCAGGCTGGCAGGTGGAGTAGATAGCACGCCTCACCGTGCACCCCGAGCTCTGCCATCCCGCAATGGCTCAGATCCAACCTCCCCTCTTTCCGCACTGGTCTGCGATCTTCCCCCACCTCCCTTCCCCATTCATCCTTTCATTCATTCGCCAAGGGACGTGCGTGGAGTTCCTGATGAAAGCCGCACAGAGCAAGTGCCAAGAGCACAGGGCCGCCGGAGCTCTGGCTTCCTCTAAACTCAGTGTCGTGAAATGTTACCCAACCCAGGCCCGTGCTCCCCAAATGGGCATGCCTGACCGACTACCCACTGGCAGTCTTTTGTTTTTATCTTACCTTTCTTAATTTGCACTTTAGTGGATTTTATAATGTACGTAACTTATAAATCAATTAGGCATGTGTACTCAGATTTGACTGCGAGGGATATAAAGTTAAAGAAGTTTAAAGATTGTTATCCTAGATTCACTGCTGCTTATCTGTGTTTTCCTACCTTTTGGAAAAGAACATTGAATGATTTTATTATATAAAAGTAAATAAAAGCCTTTCTTTCCTTCTTTATTTCTCTCCCTTCCTTCCTTTTTCTTCTTTCTCTTTCTCTCTCTCTCTCTCTTTCTTTCTGAGTTGGAGGTCTTGCTGTGTTGCCCAGGCTGGTCTTTTGTTGTTGTTTAGAGGCAGGGTCTCACTCTGCCACCCAGGCTGGAGTGCAGTGGCACAATCATAGCTCTCTGCAGACTCAGCCTCCTGGGCTCAAGCGATCCTCCTGCCTCAGCCTCCTGAAGAGCTAAGACTACAGACATGCACCAACACATCTAATTTTCATTTATTTATTTTTTTTAAGCGATAGGGGTCTCACTATGTTGCCCAAGCTGGTCTCAAACTCCTGGGCTCAAGCAATCCTCCCACCTCAGCCTCCTGAGTTGCTGGGATTACGGATGCATGCCAATACACCAAGCGAAAAGTAAATAAAAGCTTTTAAAAAATCTATTTAAATTATATTGCCAGTATATGTGGGAGCATGGCCCAGAGGCAGGCAGATGAGAGTTGAGGCCCCTTCCCACCTGCAACAGCCCTGAGCGCACGTCTCTCCCCATGCCCACATCCTTCCTATGGCTTTCCTCCCATGCTGCCCTGAAGCCACTTCCCCACCAACACTTCAGCTCCTTTTCCTCTTCCGTTCTTCCCTCCTTTCTCACTTCCAGGAGAGGACAAATTTCTGGCCATTCATAAAATCAAAGAATATTGGC